ATTTTAATTTAATTTTTTTTATTTCTTGAATTCGCAACCCTGCTCTTAACAATAAACCCAAATAGATATTTTCGTTTTTGTTATAATTTTTTTAGCTTTTCTTTATTGTATGTAGCTTTCTCACTTATACTCGAATACAGTTATTTGTTTTTATTTTTATTTCATTGAATTTCAACAACTCAAAAAGTAATAATGCCGTTTCACAAGATACTTGTTTGTATATTTTGCATACATATAGCACATATGTACGTTATACACGTCATAATATATTTATATATATGTATGTATATAATTAATGCGTCACTCTTTATGCAGGTGAAATTTTTGGGAATCGCTATTACCATGTACTTATTTAATTAAAACAATTTATTTACTTTAAAGTAATTTAATATCATACTCTTTAGCTGGAGCTGTTGCTCGAAATTTTTGTTGTTGTTGTTCTTTCTTAGTTTTTGTTGTTAAAATAAATCCACATTTGGCTTACCATATTAAACTTTTCTACTTAAGTTAAAATAAGTTTTCAAATGGGGGATCGTTTAGCTGATGTTGTCGCTAGCTGTTTCTGCTCGTTAAGTTTTCATTTAGTGGTTGTGGCGCTTGCGCGCGCAATACGCTTAAATGTAATAATAATTAAGTTAAAATTAGAAGCGTTTCAAGTTGTTTGCGGTGTAGTGTTTTTTGTTTATGTTTTCTTTAATGTCTTCTACTTTGTGGGTAAAATTGTTGTTGTCGCTGTTATCGGTGCATAACAATGATTTTGTTTGTATTCAACTAAACGCATTTGCTTCATCATTTACTAATTTCGCTGTTGGCTAATTTATTTTTATTATTTTTAGTTTTTTTTTTTTTTTGCTTTTTTTCAAATAAAACTATTTCGCAATTTAGGTATAGTTTTTTGGCTATTATTTCTGCAACTCCGGCTCTTGTCTCCTACCCTACATGAAATCGGCGCCGCCGTTATTGAACACGTTTCATTTGATTTTTTGTTTACTTTTGCACCATTTTCATCAACATATCGGTCGACAAGGATTTTGGTCTCTCAATGGGCAGACCCAAGGCACGATCCCAGATCAATGAAGCCAAAACACCGAGCGCACGCGAAACGCCGAACAATACGGTGTAGTAGTTCATTTCCTTCATGCCGTAGTATTGCAGCAATACACCGGAGTGAGCGTCTACATTGGGCCATGGGTTCTTGACCTTGCCGGTTTCGGTTAGGATTGGTGGCACGATCTTGTAGATCTTCGACACCAGTTGGAAGAGATCATCGTTGGGCAGGTGTTTGAGCGCGAACTCACGTTGGCAGGTGTAGCGTGGATCGGTCTTACGGAGCACAGCATGACCATAACCGGGCACAACCTGTCCCGACTTCAAGGTCTTCCAGACATACTCCTTCAATGCCTCCTCGGATGGGTTGGCACCCAATTCCTTCTGCAATTTGCGCAGCCACACCAATACTTCCTGATTGGCCAAACCGTGCAATGGACCAGCCAAGCCGTTCATGCCGGCGGCGAACGATAGGTAGGGATCGCTCAAAGCGGAGCCAACCAAGTGCACGGTGTGTGCGGAAACATTGCCACCCTCGTGATCACTGTGAATGGTCAGGTAGAGACGCATCAATTCGGTGAATTTGGGATTGTCATAGCCCAACATTTTGACGAAGTTGGCGGACCAATCCTGACTGGAATCGATCGATTTGGAGCCTTTGCCGCCACGATAGGTATTGCAGTAGATGGTTGCAGCAACGACGGGCAATTTGGCGATCAAGTCCATGCTGTCCTCGTACACGTATTCCCAGTACTTGGTCTTGTGTACACCCTTTACAGAAACAAAAAGCATATAATTTGCATTAGTTGAAATGTAGCGTGTAATACTTTACTAGAAAAGCGTAAACTCGCCGAATTTCTCTACTTACCTCTGAGTAGGCCTTAGCGAATTTACTGTCGTGATTCAGTGCGGTGACGGCGCATGCGAATTGCGACATTGGATGCAAAGTGGTGGGCATGTTATTCAACATGGTGACTACATGTTGTGGCAGTGCAGCGCGTTCGGCCCATTCCTTCGACAATTGCTTCACTTGTCCCTTGGTTGGCACATCGCCAGTAAGCAATAGCCAGAAGAGACCTTCGGGTAGTGGCTCTTCACCGCCTTCGGCCTTGGGCAAGACCTTTTGGCATTCGGGAATGGAAAGACCACGGAAACGGATACCCTCATCGGCGTCCAACACAGAGGTTTCGCAAACGAGACCCTTAATGCCACGCATACCACCATACATCTGTAAAGGAAGAGGGAGAGATTAGGGTTAGGTTAAGCTTCGATTTTATTTTTGAGATCTTGTTTAAGAAGGTTGAGGGGTTAACTGTTTGCAGTTATAATAAATAAAACTGTTATAAACTTATTAAGAATACTAGAAGTAGAATTAGAGTTTAACACAGTTTGATTTTGTGCCGCGAAGTTTTTAAAACGCAAAAGAAATATCGGAGATTCTATAAAATATATTTGTATGTATATCTAGTTCGTCTCTTTGTACGTACGCGAACTATTCACTCAGTTTTGAGATACCGATCTGAAAATTTTGCACACGTCTTTTCCTTCCAAAGAATCTGCTCAAGGTTTGAAACGGTCTATATCGGACCACTATAGCATATAGCTGTATACAAACTGAACGATAAAATACATGTCCTTGTAAGAAAAAAAGATTTTTTTTGACGAGATATCTTCATGAATTTCAACAAGGATTATTGTCCAGAATTTCCGGATAATGCCTTAATATACGCTGAGCTCCAAGCTCCAAGAAAGTTTCGAGAAACGAAACAACTGATGAGATTGCCATCAGTCTAGCTACCAAACAAGATCATGTGAAAGAACCTCTTCGAAAAACTTACTTGCTTCTTAATAGTATCAAAAAAACTGCAGGGCAGCTGTTGGCCTCTTAACAGGGCATAACCTACTGGCATCATATGCGTACCAGATAGGCATGTGTTGAGGACAAATGCAAACAGTGCAGAGAAGTTGACATAACAGAGACACGGGATACCTCCCATGCCTGTGTCCAGCACTACTTAGAACTCAACTTAAGTATGTGGGAGCTTCGGAGTTCAAGAGACTAGACGCAGTATCAAACGTAGTTATGAAGTTGTTCTTAAAATTCGACATCCTCTATGACAAATACTTCACCACAAATTAAACTGAACCTTCGTCTGACTTTACAAGGGCCAGTAGGTCAACGTATGGCGAGAAAGCCGGCCAGTATAACCTCGGCTAACCTATTGTCCATGGCAGCGATACAATCTCCGAAGAAATTGTTCAGATTGGACCACTATAGCATACAGCTGTCAGCCAAACTGAACGATGAAAAACTAGAATATTTTGTATTTGTAAAGTATATTATAGC